TTTCCTATAGAGAATTTAATATGAATACCAAACTTAACATTGCAATTACTTAATATTAAGGGGTTGGTCAATATAGGCGGAGTCATAATAAACGAATTCCACTGTAAAATTGTACAAATATTAATTTCATTTAAAATGCAACAAAACATTTGTATAGCAGTTATAAAATTCCCTGACAAATTACCTAATAACCTAAAATTATTGAAACATATGGTAAAAAGCCCATGAAGGCATTAATAACAAAACGTTAGGAAATGAGCCATACTACACCTAATACTACATAATAACACAAAAAGTATTCAAACCAAAAATTTAAACGATTTTACATTTCATAAGGAATAGTTGTTGCTGAGAAGCTCTTGTAAAAAATTTTGGACTGCCTACAAATTACGTATCGCTAATTGGGGTGAGGGGAGTCATGTCTGGCGTTACAGTTCTTTTACGTGGGAGGAGATGGGGGAGTCAAAGTAAGCGCATAACGATTTTAGATCAGAAAAGGTAGCGATATGTAATACAGTACAACCTCAGTAATCCGAACCTTTGTTAATCCGAATAACAAACACTTGGAAGTCATAATCCGAAAAAACCTTGATAGTCGGAACAAGCTCGAACAGCGCAGTCGTAGCAACGTCACCTCGCTCGAGAAGCATTTTTATTTCGTCCGTCTTGTTACGAAACGATTACGTTAACAGATATGAAATGGCGCCAAAAAGCAAACATATTGCTTTATCAATGTAGGAAAAAGTACTATTAAAAGTTTAGAGTCCGAAGCTGTTACATTTTAAAATTTTCTTATGCTTCAGATTTGTTTAAAAAATAAAGTTTATATATAAACATCTGTGTCTAATACAGTAAAAGCTCTTTATTCGCGGGGTATACGTTCCATAAATATGGCGCGAACACACAAATCATGGATATGACATGGTAATTAGTATGGAATCATAGGGAATACGTTCTAAGGTTCCGAAATGAAACCAATATGTATCAAAACAAAATAAATGTATTGAAAAATTCGCAATTAAAATTAATCATTATAGTCAGCTTTAGGCAAGAGTATAAAAAATTTAGTGATTTTTTCTTGTTTCGAATTTTCAAATTAGTCCACTCGGTTACATCTTATATAAAAGCTGCCTCGGCACGTACCAACTGTACATAGTCAAAAGATGCCGATACATTAAGGAGATTCAGTAGTACACACGTCGTAGAGTAAAAACATGCTTATCGGTTCTAGATATCATGAGTTTAATGGTTGAAACAGAGGTTTGAAATTTTGTAGTAAGATAGATAAACCTTTGTTCTAAAGCCTGACGAAGGCCATTTTTTAATTTCTTAATTTCTCTTGAAAATACGTGTCCTACAAGAAGCATCAACTTTAAGCACTTGTAAAAGCTATTAATGACCGTATTATTGAAAACTAAAAACGGGCCGAGTTAGTGTGAACCTTTGTCTGTTACCATACAAAAAATCAGATATTTATCTCGTAACGTTAAATCATAATGTTTAAAATAGAAACCCATATTTTCGGAAAAATTCACAGTAGGCACGAGCGATCTATTGCGGTCAATCCCCATAATAAATGACACCGAATCCGTTTCTGTTTACCGATTGCATCCGTGAATAATGAAATTTTTAGCCGCGAATACAGGAAGTGGGTTGCAATTTTTTCACCCGCAAATAATGAAAACGCAAATAAGGAAACCGTGAATAAGGAACTTTTACTGTAATAGAAAATACTCACCAATTCCCACAGATACGGTATGAGCAATAACGATACACCGGCCGAAACGTTGCTAGCCCCCACTCCAACGTTTCGTAGCGCTGTCGGATAAAGCTCTGCGGTGAAAACGGGTACGATAGCGTTCGATGCACTGATTGTGAATTTTCCGATCATTGCGAAAGTTGTCACCACGACATCATAATCAGTCATGAACCATTGAATCGGTAGCGTAATTAGACAGGCTGTACCGGACACGCCAAAGGTTAGTGCCAACGGCCATCTTCGTCCCATTTTTAGAAGAATGTAAATACTAAGAGCGATGCCAGGAATTTCTAAGACGCCCAGTATAACCTTAACAATAAAATGAAGAAAATGTTTATACAAAAAGGAGTATAAATTATATAAGACTAAAAAATTACAAGTCGAATTATAAAACGACAAAAATATAAGATTCTCAGAATATTTTTAAGGTATTCAATAAAACATTTCTTCTATGAATAATTTTAGTGAAAATGTGATCAGAATTTATATACTAACGGAGTAACTAACTTTCTGTATTTCATGTACACAATAAATATAGTGCATGATGATCACAAACAGAATTGTTGTATTTGGAACATTTTGGACAACAGGAATTATTAATGGTATGTATTAGTACAACGAGATTCAGTCATCCAAAATTCTCTGGTCAGGATGGGATAGACATTTGTTGAAAAACAACTGATTACTTAGATTGTGCCAGTAACGAACAACCAATAAATCACTTACAAGAGCTCAGTAACTTACGAAATGTAAAAGTTATATTGAAGGCATTTTTTTAAAATAGTTCACACGGAAGGCTAAAAAATTGTCTCATCTCGAGATAAAAATGTTCAGTCTCTCAGAGTCTCTGAAAGCGAGACTCGAGTCTCCGTCTCTCATCGAGTATCCCTGGTGTCGCTGAGAGACACTGTCGAGAGACTGTCAAAAAAACTGTTTGGCGTCTCTGAACGAGAGACTCGAGTCGCTCATAGAGAGATCCTCATTTCGTATTCAGTCTCTGAAAGAGAGACTCGAATCTCTGAACGAGAGACTCGAGTCGCTCATAGAGAGATCCTCATTTCGTATCCAGTCTCTGAACGAGAGACTCGAATC